CGGGGTAAATCTGTCTTATCTTCAATCAAAATAGGCCGACTGTTATCAGTTCTCCGGAGAAATATCTTCCCACTGCTCGTTATCCACGCGTATTTGTAATTATTCTCATCTTTAAACTTACGCGTGTCTGACCACAAAATTCGAGTTTCACGAGTCATTGCCAGATTTATATAAACTATATTATCACTGGTAAAGCCAAGATTAGAGGCAGAAAATCCCCTTTTAATCATAGCCTTCCGACGCATTGCCTCCATATCTATTCTACGGCAAAACTTAACAATTATGTTTCTCGGCATATTTTCATTTCTGTTTGGCGCTAGGCGGTGAACAGCGTCTATACATGAAGGTTGGAGGCGAATACCGAGTACCGATGCAATACGAATAATTATGCCCATTATATCTTCATGCGGTGTTTCCGGAACTCCTTGTATTTCCAGACAGTTGCTCCTGGAGTATTGCTCAGCAGCGTTCATTCTTTTTTTCATAACGCCAAGATCCTGTTGCAATTTTTTATTTTCCGACTTCAATCTATCAATTTCCTGATCATGTATCAATGATTTAGCATCAGTGTTAAGTAAACCAGTTTTGACACAATTTATCTCTTCAAAACACATATCTGTACTACGGGTTACATCTTCCTTAAATTGTTGAAGCTCATTCTTTAGACCAACTATGTCCTCTTTAATTGATGAACTGTCAGACTTGACCTCACCAAGCTGTGCGATGATAAAATCAAGTTTTTTGTCCAAAGCCTGATAGTCACTGGCACTCTGAGATCGTGTACGTATTGTTGTATTTGTAGTCGTGTTGTCCTGCGACGTTGGCGGCGGCGGTTGCGGCGACATCACGTTCGACGTCCAGATAGCATTCTGGGTACTGTAGGTAAGTATGTTTTCTGTGCTGAGGTTTACTTAAACAGGTTTAAGCATGAGAGATCTTAGGTGCAAGAAAACAGGTTATAATTTTTTTTTTTTTGTTGTTGTACCACAACGTTTTGAATGTTTAACTATAGAATTTATCTTTTGTCTCAGCAAATTGAAGCAATTTATTGTAAAATTCGATATGACAAATATTAAGAAATTTTTAGATAAAAAGGTCTTTAACTCTTAGACAAAACCCAACAATAGTGTTTGTTGGAACCATTTTTATTTTGCAATTATTCGCCTGAAATAAAGTGTGCAAAAGTGCTAAATGAAACCTAAGTAATAAACTTAATTGCAATTTAAATTTATATAAATATGTTAAGCTATTAACTAAGTTATTTTTAAAAAGTAATTAATTAAAATGTGACAACAGAAACTTTTTACGATGTTTTGCATGTTTTTCACAATCAGTAGGCTAGTAAAAAAAAAATGAAAAAAAAAATATTATTTTGAGGGAAATTAAGTAAAATTGTGCAATTATGAAATTGTACAGAATTTAATGGCGAATTCTAATCATTCTTTATGCTAACAAAAAAAAAAAAAAAAAAAAAAACGAGCAAATGAGATAATCCCGACATGTCAAATTAACCCTGCCCCCCAGTGGGTTTAAGTCCAAAACCGTTGTTATTTCGACCGAGATTTTCTTATTTGTGCTAAACCATGACTCGTGGTGTGAGGTTCATAAAGTCAAAATATCATAAAGTCCAACGGTTAAAATATTAATAAACAGAGCGTTTCACAAGGTCCAAATTTCATAAAGTCGAAAACTATAACTTTCAAATAATCACCGTTTTACAATGTACAAATTTCACAAAGTCTAACGTTAAAATATCAAATAAATAGAGCGTTTTACAAGGTCCAAATTTCACAAAGTCCAAAACTATAACATTCAAATAATCACTGTTTCAGTTTCACAATGTCCAAATTTCACAAAGTCCAACGTTAAAATATCAAATAAACAGAGCGTTTCACAAGGTCCAACGGTACATTCTCGGCCAGAAGTCGCTGCAGAGGTTGCCGTGGTTCGGTTCGGCATGTAGGCACTACACGATCTAGTGTTGTAGCCGCACATCACAAAACATCATTGTGGGTACGTAGATGCATTGTAAAGAGTGTAAAGTAGTTTGGTATTTACCCCCTCTACAGCAAAGTATCGTAATTTCTTTTTCCGTCATATCGTAATTGGAAAGCGGCGGTCGCTGAAAACTTCGCGCAAAAACTAGCCAGACCTAGTAGTGGTCATGTAGACGATTATTGGACAAACTAAAAAAGAATCTAAAAACTATAAAAAGGTAGTGTACCTGTCTAATAACCGTTGAATTATTTACATTTGAACACTATTTCCTATTAGAATTTTATGTAATAATCGTTATACAACAGCAACAACAACTTCATAGGTACCTTAATATTTTATACGAAAGTCACAGACTCCTTTGCTTGTGATTACGCATTTTGGTAAATAAAAGGTAGGACTATAACTTACAATCCTTAGCTCTCCACTGAAAAGGCAAATCCAAATATAAATTATTGTGTTGTCAAAACTTTAACATTATTGAACTAGCAACATTAAGTTGCAAAGAGAAAACGAGACTGATGTCAAGTAAAAAAGTGTTAATACTCGAGTTTCAGCTTATATTGACATAGGCTATACTTGCAGTATACAAAAAATACAATATGATGTCTAGGCCTACATATGAGTTAAATCCTATTCATAAAAATTTATTTCAGCGTTTATGTGTGTTATTTTCTACCTTTTGATGTAGTTTCAACTCATTCTTTCAGTGGGTAGAATGAATTAAGTTCAAGGTTTTTGGCACTTTTCTAACAACGGGCTATTTTGACATTTGATATAAAAAAATAAAACCGATGTAATCATCATGACATTTTGACAGCTATAAGACAATATAGGCCTACTTATAAAAAATATATTTAAATATTTAAACATTTTTCATCGGTAAAAATATCTCTTCCGATATATGTAATCGCTTTTTAATTGAGAGACGGAACAGTTAAGAAACTCAGCTGAATGCTTGAATCAAAGCTATTAAAAATATAAAAATGTAAATTTGATTTGCACATTATGTGTTAACACAAAGTTGAGTCAAACAGCTAAGTGTTCTTCAATCATTAAAATGATCAGTAGCCTAGTTAAGCGTCGGCGGACGGTGCCTGCTATCTGACCAGGGCAACTACTGTAGAGACTTCTGGCCCAGACTGTACCGTTGGACCTTGTAAAATTTTGACCGCTCTGTTTATTTGATATTTTAACATTGGACTTTGTGAAATTTGGACATTGTGAAACGCTGATTAGTTGGATGTTATAGGCCTAGTTTAGGACTTTATGAAATTTGGACCATGTGTTTTTAAAGCGCTCTGTTTTTTTGATTTATATCTTAACATTGGACTTTGTCAAATTTGGACATTGTGAAGTGCTCTGTATATTTGATATTTTAACATTGGACTTTGTGAAATTTGGACATTGTAAAACGGTGATTATTTGGATGTTATTGTTTTGGACTTAATGAAATTTGGACCTTATGAAACGCTCTGTTTATTTATTACTTTAACCGTTGGACTTTGTGAAATTTGGACTTAATGAAACGCTCCCGACTCGTGAATCCAACAAGTTAATTTGTTTGGCCCGGGGTTTTGTCTAATTGGACTCGCGAAGCCTTGGGTTTAACTTGTTCGCTGCGGGCCATCAAATGGCAGGCGTAGCCTCAGAGCGGCGCAGCCCGCAGCGTCGAACAAACCCGATTGCCGGGTGTTTGGCTCTCATATTTCGGTATGACGAATAGCAAATAACGTGCGGTGATGTCCTGTTTTATAACAAGAGTCGACGTAGTTCACTAAACACTCACATATAGCAGCACTGCTTGGAACGTAGCCAGTCCCATCGTATTGCCAATTGGAGGGAGAAAGACGGGACAACAAGTTGATTTTTAAGTTTGCCAGACGGGGATTTTATGGGGAAATTTTACCACCAACCTACAACACAACAAAAAGCAAGTCACCCACTACACGCTAACGTGGAATTGGTCTGCCTTCGACCGACGCTAGAGCAAAAACGATGATATACGAAAGGCATTGCCGAGCGTATCCGATCGGTTACGGCAGCGTCTGAACAGCGCTCGGCCCGTATCCGATCGGATATGCCCGCAGTGAACGTGTTAATCCCTGTTATAATTGGGTGAAGATAATTGGGTCTGCGCCTGAGCGCAAAATTGGGGTCACGAGTACAAGGTTATCCGAAGTAGGTAAGGTATTAGATTTAGATAGGCCGCCACGCCGTTAAGTTTACGGTAACTTACTGCATCTGTTGGCAAACCAACTAAGAAAAAAAAAATCTCTGACGAGGAAAAAAGCTAAATATTAAATTCTATCTTGGAGAATGAATCATATTCTACGACATAAAACAAAGTACTTTTTAGCAAGAAGTTTGCAGTCACTAAGTGTACGACAGCCACCATGTGTGAAGGGACAAGACTTAAGGTAAGCGTGGCTTCGACCCTTATGGGAAGGCGGCCCAAGGTCCAATTGTTGCTAATAGTCCCTAGAAATATTAAAATAATTGGTAAGTTATACCACAGGATTCACAGGTAATATCCAGACTTACTGCAGTTTGGTTAAGGTCATCATTTGGTTAACAGTTTCATTTTATAATCAGCAGGTAGTTAATGTATAATAGTAAATGTAGGACGTAAACTAATCCAACTACACCAATCCTAAAAAGTGCAACCCCCCTAAAGCCCTATATTCAGGGTTTTTTTTACTGGACTCATAAGTTTACTAAGCTTGGATCTAACTTAGTTTATTAGAAATTAGGCCTATGAGTTGAAACCCCAGAAATGGGGTTCTTGGGCACTCCCCCATGGGTTAGGGTGAAACTAAATCTTATATTTATTGTAACTAAAACCAATATTTAATAGAGACAACAATAAAAAGTGGCCCAGTACAAACAGTAGGCCTAAAATTAATAGTTGGGATGACAACTTATAAATCAATGGAGTTTTAAAACAAATGCCCGTGCGGAGACGCGATTAAAAGTTATAAACACAAGCAATTAATATACCTCACCTCCATAAAAATTAGTAAATTCAACAAATTCTTGAACACTGTTACAGAATTATTTTACCAAGAATTAATGAATGAAACCTCGCCCATCAGCAGTCCATATTTGGTTATATTTGTTGAGGTTTCCACACTCCACAGCCACTAGTATACGAGTGACATTGCAGTGCCATGCCCGTAGTGGGGACTATAAAAAGTTGTTATCGTAGGCCTACTATAATAATAACTTTGACTTTACATCTAAACTGTGTAGATATAAAGTCAATTATAAAAAAACATACTCCTCAAGGAGTATCCTTGAGAGTCCCTGAGGAGTATGTTTTATCTATGATATAATCCATATACATATATAATCAGTGGTTCTATGTCTGTGTTCCTGTACAACATTTTTATACTGTAGTCTTAGTCTTAGTGGACCCGGGCCGACTGGAGCTGAACCGGTCGCGATGGGGGGAGGACTCGTAGTAGGACGATGACGTCATTAATTAGTTCAAATTTGCTCCACAAGCGGCGCGCCAGACGGATTCGGGATGAAGATGATGACGTCACCGTTTCTCGCGACTCGCGAGCGGAGAGAGCAGGCGTAATCAAATTCGTCTGCTACTTGATTTGTCAACTGTTGAGTTAGGTTAAGAAGCATTAATTTACTTGCAATAAGGTTTTTTGTAATAATTAGGCCTACAATTTGATTAATTAAGTTAAGTGGATGTTAGAACGTCAGTTTAACTCTTGAAAGTAATTAAGTGAACATAATTTATCGATGTAAATTAATTTAATAAGTTAAGTTAGCTCTTAAACTCAAGTAAGTTAGGCCTTAAAACTATTTTAACTGTGGGTGTGGGACATTTACATTAGTGAAGATATGACACTGTGACAAAACACCCTTAAATTTTAAATGATGTATGCATAACTTAGGGCCTAACGATTTCATTTCAATAACATCCAGTCAGTAACTTTAGTTGGTTACACTTAGAGCTATCCCAATTAATTTTGATAACTACTTGGCTGTAACCAGTAAAATAAAAAAAAACTAGGTTAACATTAAAAAACAAGCTCGAAGCCTTTGAATTAAGGCTATCTAACTTAGGCCTAGCTTATTCATTTGAGTTGTTAACAAATCAGTCGATAGATAAATCTAAAAACCTTGCCTACTTGGTCAGAATTGATCTGAAACTAAGATGCCAGATATAGTCTGTGGAAATACTGTAAGTTAGCATCTAATGTTCTAATAAAAAGCAAGCCTCGACTTGAAAACTAGGTTTGCTTTTATAGCAGTGAAAACCAGTTGAGTGTAGCAATCATGTTTCATGGTTTTTAATGAAACAATAAATATAAAAAAATGTTTATGGATATAATACAAAATACAAATGTTCCCACACACTGCACTGTTAGCCTTTACTACTTCCTTCAGCTCTTCCTACGTCGTGGACCTGTTTCCCTTCCTTCCCATGGCATTTTAGGATAGCCGATTCATTAATCTTAATGCCACAAACAGTTCCCACACTCAGCACCTTTACTACTTCCTTCACCACTTCCTACGTCGTGGACCTTCTCCCTTCCTTCCATGGCCTTAATGTAACTGCCACAAACGGTTCCCACTCTGCACTGCTAGCCTTCACTACTTCCTTTTCCCCTTCCTACCTCGTGGACCTAATTCCCTCTTCCCTCCCTTCCCATAGCATTTTAGGATTGCCGAAACATTAGTCTAACCAGGGCAGCGTTAAGGGTCAGTGAAATTCTGGTCAAACCCAAAAGCAGCGCCCCCTTTTTTCCTAGTGCGGGCGGGCGGTGGTTGGGGGGCACCCCTAAACCTCCGGTGCCCCTGGGCATATGCGCAGTCTGCCCGTTTATAAAAGTGGGCCTGAATCTAACTGACACAAAGGGTTCCCACACTCTGCACTACAATAGGTTGGTGTGTTGCTACAGAAAATAAAATGAGTGTTTTTTATTCAAATCTTGAACGCTTAATATGAAATAAACAAATTTGTCAAAACAAAAAAGTAAATCGGTTGGTGGTCTAGGTCTTATCAAGAGACCTGCGGTAACAGCTTATTCCCCATTTGGAAAATTCACTAAAATTAGGTGTAATGGCGGAGGCCGTATTAAATAAAAATAAGTAGTTTTTAAACGATAAATACTTACCTTATACCATTGTCTATTGGATAATAGTCAAAGCTTATACCTAAATATTGAGAACTCACAGTACCTAAAATGTGCTGTGGTCAGGGAAATTAACAGAATTCCGTCAGGGAATTCTGTTAATACACTCACGTCACTTAAGATATTTTTGTGGGAACCCAGTTCAAATACCTTGGGAATTACTGGTAAAAGACTTAGGTCGGTATGATTTTACCTGTTCAAAGAGGCTTCCCAGGATTTGGGATGACAATTGATTGTACCGTTTTGAAATGAGCTGGTACATATTCCAGTCTTAACATTGTATTAAATAACATGGTAAAAACTTAATTCCTTTTTGTGGAAGCTCTATAAATATTTTGCCAGTTATGAGGTTGTAACCAGGAGCCTTGTCAGAATGAAGATCGTTGACGATGATTGATTTCACCTACGATGATATTTACTTCTGCAATGAGAAGTCAAGTTGTAATGGAGACTACAAATACTCAAATATCTCTTCCTCGTTGTTTACTTCTGCATTTGATTTGAACACATCCTCAAAGTATTGAGCAAAGGCTTCTCTGTGTTACATTTGGCCCAGGCAATTAGACTTAAAAAAAAAAGTTAATTTAAAGTTTAGGTCGTTTCATAACTCACCAGGAAATGCAGGCTCCCCCGGTGAAACAAGACGTCGCGAAATCTGCCAACTTACCAATATGGGAGCCGTGTTCGCGACTGGAATGCTATCCACCCCCTTAGCAAAATATGATGCTATGTAATAGTAATTTTTAATTTGGGTAATTCCGTTTGATATTAGAACAGTTTGACAACGAAACTTGTGTTTCCGTGACTGGAAAACTCCCCCCCCCTCCCGATCTCTGATGTCAACATGACGTAGGAACCTGCTTGGGGGGGGGGGGGGGTAGTTGTCCGGGGGACAGTCTTCCGGTGACCCACTCCCCATAGTGAATAATCTTAGGCTTCGCCATAGGTGATAGAGATCGGGTACTTCTCACTGATGTACTTCTCATACCAGTGATTATTGATATTATATAACAACTGCTTTAAATGTTAAGATGACCTATTAAAATGTTTATCAATTGGATTCCTGCTATTTTGCCAGATTCTTCTCAAAATATATCCATAAGCATTAAGCAATCAAACTACGTAAAACAGTTTAGGCTACTTACAGTATCCTCCAAAAGATTAAAAAGGAAATTTTGAATTTTTTTTTTCTCCGTTACCAATAATTGTACAAACACTTTAATGTACTAAATTATTTTTATATTTTTAAGCTATTCAAAATGGTTTAGAGAAGAATTGGGAATTTTTATGTTTTGAGGGTCAAAAATTAGAAAAACCCCATAACACCCTGTTCCCATAGTCTGATCGTGCTGGTTCGGGAACTCATTCAAGTTTATCCTGCCCTACACCTTCAAGCCAAATTTCATCAAAACCAGACAAAATGACTTGAGTTATCACGTTCACGGACATATTTATAGTTGTTATATATATATAACAATTTGAATGAATAGTTTTTTTGGCCTCTAAGGACATCAAAATGAAAAAGTATATCAGTCCCGGGTCTAGGTCTGATCGTGCCACCTACAGTGATAGTTAATTCTCTCAATACATTCGATATGCTTGATAGGGTCACATAAATATATCTTAAGACTAATATTTTCTCACTACTTAAACCAAAAATAGCAATATAGGCCTACCTTGGACAAATTGTAAATATTAATCAATTGAAACAAAAGAGTTGTTGAAATATAGTTTTATTTATAAAACACACATATTTATTTTCCAAAGCTAGCTTTTAAAATGTAGGTGTTAATTTTGTAAAGTAAAAGAATAAATTGTTAAATTAAAAATAACTATTCTTGGTCTTTGTTTCCAAGTGTTGGGTGTTGCTTGGCTCCAGAACCAGGAATATTGTCCCATTTGTTCCTAAAAAAAATTGTAAAACTATAGTACAAATATGGCAATGTACATTGTTGTAACAATATTTTTGGTCTGTAGACTGGCATAGATTTAAAACATTGACAAATTGATCGGCTGTTGGCAAAATATTTCCTACAGTTACCTAACAATGTGCATGTTCTCTCACTGATTTTAGAAAGCAAAGTGGCCAATTCGCTCATCAGTGAGACAATGTTAACATTGTCTCACTCTAATTACTTTGTCTCAATCACTCCAGATTTGCAACGTGAAGGCACGAAATAGTGAGCGTGTAACATGCAGACAAGGTCATATGCGCGCAATATACGTTGGCAGCACTGGCTGTAAATCAGCTGGTCAGCTGTTGTATCATTAAATGTAATATTAAAAGTTCACTTCTGTGTAAAAATATGTCACGTTTCTTTACCATTTATTTGTTTTATGGTAACTGTAGGAAAAATATAATGTACAACTCGAGTGCAAAGTGCAATTGCCTCACTCGAGAAACCATTCCACACTCGCCTACGGCTCGTGAGTAAGTATTTCTCTCGAGTGAGTCAATTGCTCCCTTTTCTCACTAGTTGCACAAATAACTATATTAGAGAGGAAGAAACAGAATAGACACATCTCTTCTGACTGCAACACTTGAAATAATTTTCACTCTGTAAAAAACATTCATCGTCAATTTTTTATGTTCTGGAACTTAAGTGTTATATTTTTCACTATGCCTAGTCATAAACCGTACCTATACAGTAGAACCTCGCTACGGTAATTCGAAAACCTATATAATTAGAAATGTTTGTCTGTTCCCCTCACAAAGCCTCTAAAATTAAAAAAAATAATATACCGATAGTACAAAGTAGTACAAAGTAGTTTTAAGCTTAATACAGCCTCTACAATTTGAATTTTGTTGCCATAATTAAAACTGTTACTTCCAAAATTCGAAGTCAACCTCTACAATTCGAACTGCATTACCGTAAGACAAAAAATATCTTTGTTGAAACATGAACTGACAATCCGTCCCCCAAGATGTGTTCATTAGTCTCCATTCTCTCAAACTCCACACTTAAAACTGGGACCTCCACAATTCAAATTTTATTTTTCTGACCTCTATAAATCAAACTCTTTACATTTTAAACTTCCCATAGTTCGAAATATATTTTCTTTCCTCTGAAATTCGAATAAGCTAAGTTCTACTGTACTAAAGCCTGGTTTACACGGGTAGAGTTGTTGGTAGTGTAGAGTTTATAGTAGAGCTACTTTCTTGTCCACTCTACCGATTTTAAGCAAGCGACTGTTCACACATAGTAGAGTGTTGATGATAGTTTGTGAACTGTTTGTTCCACCTCCATTCCCAAAATGAGTGTTATAAACCAGTTACAAGACAGTGTCACTCTATCAGAAACTCTACTCTACTGCCGCGGATCTCATTTACACAAGTATAGTGTGCAGGAGAGTGACAATTTCGCTAGTGGTGGGGGAAGTAGAGTAGAGCTACTATGCCACATGTTGCTAGTAACTCTACTCTACCACCTACTATCTACTATACTAGCTACTAGGCGCCAGTGGGTGTTTACACGGGTAGAGTTACTATACTAGAAACTCTACTCTACCCATGTAAACCAGGCTTTAAGCCTACTCACTTACCACTACTAAGACTTACCTTGTATTTGGCTCAGACCTCTTGATTTGGCTTGTCCGAGCCAGTCTTTGATTAACTGCCTCTAACTCAGGGTCTGTCGCTTTAGCCGAAGATGCATGAGTCTAAACATAAAAATAACACAAATTTGTTAGTGATGGGTTGAATTATGATTAAGATCATAAAATCAAAAATAAATCTAAAAAAGTTGTTGGCATTAACAAATTTAGGTAAACATTTACTTTGATCCTCTATAGTCTATAGGCAGCCTACATATTTTTGAATGTGATGAGTGACTACCTGAAGAAACATTAAGAGGATAGCTTTGCAATAGCCTACAATTTTATTAAAATGGTAAATTAAATCTTCTCTAGCTGGAATAAACATGATTTAATTTTTCCCAAATACATGTTGGTACATAAAACTATAAGAAAGCCTCGACTGTCAGATGCTTCAGCAAAAATTGATAGCGGCTCTGACCATTGCAGTGATCTCGTATTTGATTGGCTAAGCCAAAAGGGATCCAGCAAGAGACTACCGTTGACTTATCACTATTGACATTAATGCACACATGGATATGATTACAAAATAATATATTAACTGTTCTTACCAAATAAGGTAATCTTGATTTAAAACAAAGATCAGAATTCAACACTCGTTTCTTCTTGAACCGTACTGATCAGATGTTACTTTTGATGCCTTGCATTTTGTTGAGCCACCTTCAAGGAATCTGTAACAAGACAATAATAACTTAGTGTAAGTTAAACATAAGTTATCGATTTTTTTTTGTCGAGGCATATAAATTTTAGGTAAAATGGTGGTCAAGTTCATCGGGTTAACATATATCATTTGTCTCAAAGAGGTGAAAGGTGAGTTAACTTAGTCTTAAAATGGATCAAGATAATGCTTTGACTTAATGTAACCAAACATGCATGTAGGCTAGCCATTTTTAATTCATTAACTAAGACATAGTTGGATGAGCCACTTCAGTAACTTTGTCGTACAGCCAGTTTATACTGACACCCGCAGAGCTTCCTGGATCAAACTCGCTATCGGCTTAGTCATACAATTTATTCATCCTTCATCCATCCCTTGCGATCAAACTGTTTTATGCTAACTTACCGACAAGTGTTCGTGCCCTATATGTTACCTGAAACAATTTAAATGTGTATATACTTTGCGGAGCCTACTCTTAATTTTAGGCCCTGGTAATTTATTTTATAAAAGAACATTTGACGAGCCACTTGCATTTCATAAAATCTGAACCACATCCGTCAGTTAGGCCTACGATTAAAACCTAAGTTGTAACTTAATAGGCCTAAGTAAGTATTTGCCTATCTTCAAGACAGTTTGTATAAAGCACTGTCTTTATTTCCGAAAATACAATACAAAGTTTTAACAATTTCGCTACTGTTAGAATCGGCTCCGCATTACAAGACAGCAAAAAGCAGGCAGCTCCAGCAATACCTTGTTTAGGTGATGAGACCTTCATGAGGCTGAAAGTTCTAAATAACTTACTGTTGTAATGCCTTCAAATGCCAATTCAAACTATGAACACTATGCCTAACTGATAAATAAGTAGCAAATAACAAGTTAGTGTCAGTAACTTAGTAACAGAAATCTTGCAATAATAATACTGTTGTAATGCCAATTCAAACTATGAACTATGCCTAACTGATAAATAAGTAGCAAATAACAAGTAAGTGTCAGTAGTAACAGAAATCTTGCAATAATAATAAAAATACTAAAATACTCAACTGCAACTCTTGTCTTCTGCTGCACCGATCGATGTATCAACATCAACAAAACATCAAGCCAAGCCTAAAAAAAAGTAAAGTTGATGACGTCATAACGGTGTCGGCTGCCTGACTAGAGTGCTGCCCGTGGAACAAATTTGAACTAATTAATGACGTCATCGTCCTACTACGAGTCCTCCCCTCATTGCGACCGGGAGCTGAACCACGGCCCCCTTTAACTACAGGCCGCGGCCAGCGAGAATTGGCAACGTCGCACTGAGCATTAACTCCCGGCCATTTCACCATTACGGTAGTACGAAACTAGTGGTCGTGGTTTAAATATACTGCATTTTTACACCCTTACAATTGAGATAAAATTTTGAAATTTTGTACAGAGCTAGGGAATAAACCCTTCATGCCAATGGTATGGTTTTGAAAATTAAAATTTTATTTGGTAGTACATATATATATTTTTAAAATTAACACAATAGAAAATTTTTGGAATAGTGAAGTGAAAAAGTTAGTCGCCTACTAAAATTTTTGTTTGTTGGTCAGAGAAGTTTCGTCTGTGAGAAAGTTGTAGATAATTAAATATACTTTAATTTTTGTATTTAACTTTTCTTTCTATCATGCTTAGTTTTGTTAAAATTTTGGGTTGAACAGAGTGACCAAATCTCAGTTTTATGGCACGGCGCGGCGAGTAGCGCTGCTCGCAACTGTATTGTAGTATCGCATAGCTAATAATTAATTAATGTAGGCCAACTGAATTATTTCAAGCATTTTAATATGCCTTTTGGTTATCCACAAGAATATTACTTTTGTATCAAATACTGCACGACTTAATGTCTTCATAATTAAATACCGTAGCCTAAAACAAAAATGCCTTTTCCTTTTAGTTTTAATAATTTTGCTGTAGTTTATTATGAATTTTAAGTAAGTGTTTTATTTACACGTTATTATGTAGTATTATGAGAAATAAACCATTATAATAACTAATCCATTGATAATATTCTTGCAACAGACAATCGGAAGTTGGGGCTACCGAAAACTTTTAATTTAGCGCTCATCAACCAATAGTGGCGTGGCGACCACCATCTTCATTGAATTAGGTGGAATTAGCGAATAACTAAAATTAGCGACAACCTGTACCTATAATTAGCGTGCAGTTGTTCTTCTGTGTTGGCTGGTTTTTAGTGACTAGTGGTTTTTATGTCAGATATCGATATTTTAGAAATAGCTGAAACTGTTTGAATTTTTGGAATAAATAATTTGAAGGAAATAGTATCAAAAATTATTTTGAGAATGAGCAATATTTTTTAAATATCTACACGAAAGTAAAAAAGACCAAAATAATAGCCAATGTAACCATTGAAAAATGTCAATCCTTTCTTGAATAAAATAACTTTATTTATTGCTTTTGTTAATTTTTACTTTGTATAGTAAACGTCATCATTCCAATGATAAAACAATAGCTTACACAGAAGCTGTAACTAAATAACATTGCAGATAGGATTTACATTTTAAGTGTTTAACAATTAATAAATCATATAGAGTAAATACGTAGAAGAGACGGAAGAAAACTACAATCATGCGCCTACTTATACGTTCAATCATGTTCAATGTACCGTAAAAGGTTTTAATAAATATTGTATTACATTCTTGCATTGACACGAAAGCCTCACATAATTATTTACTCCTTTTCCTACACATCAGTGTTAACAGATATAAAACATCTAAATTAATAGATAATTCGCGTGCTTGTTCCAATCCTCCGCGGCGCGAGCGCGAGCGTTCACTGGTGTTGTGGTGAAGCGTAGCTTAGCCATCCAGCCATCCGATGCGGTGTTGCCACTTCGAACGCCGCGGCCTGTAGTTAAAGGAGGCCGTGGCTGAACACACAAACACAAGAAGAAGAGGCGAAACGAAAACAAGAAGAAATTTTCGTCTGCAGTGCTGTGCTATGTGCTAGTGCTAAAATTTTGATTTGACTTCCGATTGAATATTATTTATTGCTGAGCCCTGAGCCCTAACAGCAGTGTTCTCAGACGTACGATAATTATCGTTTTGTACGATAATTTAGCCTCCCGTACTATGTACGATACGTCACCGTACGATAATGCTATTTGTACGATAATTTGGGCAATTGAAGTACTCTTTTACAAAATTGGTTTGGGAGGTTATACCAAGTAATTCGGAAACATTTTTGCTGTTTTAAATCAAAACTCAGAATTTATTAGAGATGGGATATAAAAATCAATACATAAAAAAATCAATCTTATGAAACCTATAAGTTAACTGTTATTAAAAAAATTAAAAGGAAAACATTTCCATTATATGTGCTTCTGAACTTCTGCTTGAATGCTTCTGCTTCTTCGCTTCTTCTGCTTCCCCTACACCGCGGGAAAGTCTGTTACCATAAGAATAGACCTTCCGTACATAATCTCGCCCAATTGGCGAATTATTGGGCCGCGGCCTTCGAACTGGCAACGTCGCAAGTGATGTTGTAACAGCTGATTTTTTTGGAAGCAACTAATGGTATTTGTGTATTTACGAAAGAATGATTACTGGACTATGACAATATTGACTCCGCTTAAAAATGTACAGATATAGATTTTAATTCATAATGTTTCAATTTTCAATTCTGTATGTTTTATTTTCAATATTTTAATAAATGTATGTTCATAAATTAAAAATTAAATCAATAAAGTGCGAATTAATGAGATGATGTCACCTGTCTGCAATGTTTGGCTTATGGGACGTCTGTCACTGAACAACACCACTGCGATGTTGCCAATTCTACCAGGCCGCCGCCTGTAGTTAAAGGCGGCCGTGATTATTGGCGTAGTGCATGCACAGAGCATAGAATAAATGGAATAAGAATGGTGGAAGGAAAATAGGAAAATACAGGTGTAGTGTTTGTGTTTAGGTTGCTGGGTAGGTACAGCATTAGAGTATTATATTGCCTGTATTCACATAATTTCAGTTACTATGATTATTACATCGTGCAAAACTAAAAATAATTTGGTTTTATGGCAATTTTAAGATTTATAACAAAAAAATATATAAGTCTATTAGGTATTTATTGATAACATCAATACTCAAGCCAGTTACGATGGTTATTTAAAATTGTACGATAATTTTGCCTGAAATACGATAATTTAGGACCGCGTGTACGATATTTGACTCCGGCCAATCTGGGAACACTGCCTAACAGTATCAGAAGGTTTTGGGCAGGCCTACCCATTTTAACAGTTTTACAGTTACCAAATATAATATTTGTTTAGTGGTATAAAAATAATAATTGTACCTCTGTTTTGCCTAATGCATTAAGGTTAGGTTAAGTTGGGCTTATGTTCAACAGAGATTGGCAGATTGTATATCAAATTGGTTTGGTTGATAAAGAAAAGAAACTTAACCCATTCTTTTAACCATGTAATTTGGAATAGATACATTGCTTTGTAGATTCATTGAGAAGACTTTCACTGTGTATCTTGTGATAATTGTGACCGCAATATCTTTTATAATGTGGAAACTACTTCCCCACATATCAAAAAACCTATTGTGCCGTAATAGTGTCTTCAAAGTTCCTCAAATTAGGCTGTTTTTGTCAGAATCTTATAAACTGGATAATGTGTGGAAGGAAAGATTGCAATCCCCTATTCTCAAAAGAATCAATGTGAGTGATATGTTTTATGAACTGGATAACCAATTTCAACATTTTGCTTATGCTAGTGCTTTGGATATCGATCTTTTTGTAAATGCTGTAAACGATGATTCCTATTTTGATGAAATAGAGGATGTCCTCTATAAGTTGAGATTGAGTCCAGAGGCAGTTAATATGTTGCCCTCAACTCATCATGCTATTGTTCGATTGTACATGGAATGGAATAAAACTCAGGATTTGATGAGAGTCCTCGATGACAGACTCAACTATGGTGTATTTCCAGATGACTATTGTAGTTTGTTCATGATTGACTCTTTTGTCAAAGCTCAGAATTTCAGGGACGCTGCCAAAGTTAGTATTTTAGGCATGCTACAGGAAGAGATTTCAAATCCATTGTTAAAGTATTATTCACTGTATTCTTGTCACAAGTATTTGGAAAACCCTATTCCGTGGAAAGATGCTGAGGATGGACAGAAAGGGGAGGAGGAAGAGGATGAAGACGAAGTTGTTAAGGTTAGAGTTAGGTTTCTTCGTAATCCCTATTTCGACGACAACTTTGATCTTGTAGAACCTCATCACTTGATAGGGAAGACAATGACGTATATTGGATCAGGTATAGACAGTTGTGTTGGAAAAACTTACAAACTTCTTGGCTTGATCTTGCATGAAAAGTTTGATGAAGCAACCAGTTACATTACTGCACTCTCATCGTCAAAAGAATCAGATTTAGTTTACGAGGAAGGGCTAGCCCTGGCAAATAGGATATTAGAAGAGAAATCCAAAACTGAAAGTAAAGATGAATCATTTAAAGCATCTGTTAATAGATTGAAAGAGATTTTGAATACGTCTTTTACCGACACTCAAGTCAATAAAAGAAACCTCTTGGAAGAGTTGGAGTCAACAATCAAGGAACTTACTTCAAAGCATGAAAAAGTAGAGATTGATAAACAATTGGACGTAAGTTAAACTTTTTACTGTATAAAAATAATTAGGCTAACCATAGTATTTTAAATTATTTTATAGCCTACATTATTATATTATA